CTCTCCCTTTGCCCCTCCCCACCCGGTCACACACACACACACACACACACACACACACTCTCAAAAATAAAAAATAAAATAAAAATACTTTATTGCTAAAAGATGCCAAGCATCATCTGAGCTTTCAGGGAGTTTTAATCTTTTTGCTGGTGAAGGGTCTTTCCTAGATGCTGATGGCTGCTGACTGATCAGGGTGGTGGTTGCTGAAGGTTGGGATGGCTGTGCCAATTTCTTAAAACAAGACAACAAGGAGGTTTGCCGCATCAGTTGACTGTTACTTTTACAAATGACTTTTCAGTAGTTTGCGATGCTGTTTGATAGCATTTTACCCACAGAACTTTCAAAATTAGAGTCAATCCTCTCAAACCCTGCTGCTAACTTATCAACTAAGTTTATGTAATATTCTAAATCCTTTGTTGTCGGGCGCCTGGGTGGCTCAGTTGGTTAAGTGTCTGCCTTCAGCTCAGGTCATGATCCTGGAGTCCCAGGATCTGAGTCCCACATTGGGCTCCCTGCTCAGCGGGGAGTCTGCTTCTCCCTCTGACCCTCCCCGCTCTCATTCTCTCTCTCTCATTCTCTCTCTCTCCCAAATAAATAAAATCTTAAAAAAAATAAATCCTTTGTTGTCTTTTGAATAATCTTAATAGCATCTTCACCAAGAGATTTCATCTCAAGAAAACACTTTTTTTGCTCACCCATAAGAAGCAGCTCATCTGCTGAAGTTTAATCTTGAGATTGCAGTCAGTTCAGTCCCATCTTGAGGTTCCACTTCTGATTCTAGTTCTCTAGCCATTTCTACAACATCTGTGGTTACTTCCTTCACTGTCTTGAACCCCTCAAAGTCATCCATGAAAGTTGGAATCAACTTCTTCAAAACTCTTATTAATGTTGATATTTTGACCTTGTCCTATGAATCACGAATGTTCTTAATGGCATCTACGTTGATGAATCCTTTCAAGAAGGTTTTCAATTTACTTCCCCCAGATCCATTAGAAGAATCACTATGTATGCCAGCGACAGCCTTATGAAATGTATTCTGGAATAATAAGACTTAAATGTCAGAATTACTCCTTGATCCATGGTCTGCGGAATGGATGCTGTGTTTAGCAGGCATGAAAACAATATTAATCTCATTGTACATCTTCATCAGAGCTCTTGGATGACCAAGCGCATTTTCAATGAGCAGTAACAGTAAGGAATCTTTCTTTCTGAGCAGGAGATCTGTTGTCAAGAGATGTGCTGTCATCCAGCACATCTTTGTTGTTATTTATAGAGCACAGGCAGAGCACATTTAGCAAAACTCTTAAGGCCTCTAGGATTTTTGGAATGGCAAGTGAGCAATGGCTTTAACTTAATGTCCCCAGCTGCATTACCCTTAACAAGAGAGTAAGTCTGTCATTTGAAGCTTTGAGGCCAGGCACTGACTTCTCCTCTCTATGAAAGTCCTAGATAGTATCTTCTTCCAATATAAGACTGTTTCATCTACACTGAAAATCTGTTGCTTGGTGTAGTTACTTTCCTTAATTATCTCAGCTAGATCTTCTAGATAACTCGCTATATCTTCTACATCAGCACCTGCTGTTTCACCTTGCACTTTTATGTTATAAAGATGGCTTCTTTCTTTATACCTCATGAATCAACCACTGTAAGTCTCAAAATTTTCTTCTGAAGCTTCCTCACCTCTCTCAGCCTTCATAGAATTAAAGACAGTTAGGGTCTCTGAGAGTTTGGCTGTGGCTTAAGGGAATGTTGTGGCTGGTCTGATCTTCTATCCAGACCACTCAAGCTTCCTCCATATCAACAATAAGGCTGTTTTTCTTAACATTCATGTATTCATTGGAGAGGCACTTTTAATTTCCTTCAAGAACTTTTCCTTTGCATTCACAGCCTGACTGCTTGGCACGAGAGGCCTAGCTTTCAGCCTATCTCAGCTTTCAACATGCCGTCCTCACTAAGCTTAATCTTTTCTAGCTTTTGATTTAAAGCGAGAGACAGGTGACTCTTCCTTTCACTTGAACACTTAAGAAGCCATTGTAGGGTTATTAATTGGCCTAATTTCAATATTGTTGTGTCTCAGAGAATAGGGGAGGCTGATGAGAGGGAGAGAGATGGGAGAACAGCTGGTTGGTGGAACAATAAGAACACACAATATTTATTAAGTTCACTGTCTTATATGGGTGTCATTTGTGGTATTCCAAAACAGTGACAATAATAACATCAAAAACCACTGATCACATATCACCATAACAAATATAAAAATAATGAAAAAATTTGGGGCGCCTGGGTGGCTCAGTCGTTAAGCGTCTGCCTTCGGCTCAGGTCACGGTCCCAGGGTCCTGGGATCAAGCCCCACATCAGGCTCTCTGCTCGGCGGGAAGCCTGCTTCTCCCTCTCCCACTCCCCCTGCTTGTGTTCCCTCTCTTGCTGTGTCTCTCTCTGTCAAATAAAAAATAAGTAAAATCTTTAAAAAAAAAAAAAAAAAGGGTGCCTGGGTGGCTCAGTTGGTTGAGCAACTGCCTTTGGCTCAGGCCATGATCCTGGAGTCCCGGGATCGAGTCCCGCATCGGGCTCCCTGCTGAGCAGGGAGTCTGCTTCTCCCTCTGACCCTCCCCCCTCTCATGTACTCTATGTCATTCTCTCTCTCAAGTAAATAAATAAATAAAATATTTAATTAAAAAAATAAAAAATAATAATGAAAAAATTTGAAATATTGCAATACTTACCAAAATGTGACACAGAGACACAAAATGAGCAAATGCTGTTAGAAAAATGGTGCCAATAGGGGCACCTGGCTGGCTTAGTCCCTAGAGCACACAACTCTTGATCTTGGGGGTTGTAAGTTTGAGCCCCACGTTGGATGTAGAGATTACTTAAAAATAGATTTTTTTTAAAAGGAAAATGCTGCTGAAAGATTTGCTCAAGGCAAACCTTCAATTTATGTAAAAAAAAAAAAGCCCACAATATCTGTGAAGCACAATAAAATGAGGTACATCTGCGTACTTTTTTTTTTTTTTAAGAAGGAGAAAGTCTATTATAAAAGGAAACAGGAAGAAGGAGAACCTCTACTGCAGGCATTTACTCAGTAAGGCCAATTTTGCGAAAGTTGAGCATCTGGAAATTAAATTCCTCTATCTCCTAAGTCTGAGTACTCTCTTGAAGAGTTTTCATGTTCCCTAATTTGAAGACTATAGGTTTAGACACGGTGTGGGATTGTTTAATGGAAGGGAAGGTTTGAGGTCCTGGTACTCTGAGGGCTTAGGGATATAAGGACCTCTGCGGTCCTAGAAAGTGGCAAGATGCTCACCACTTGTGGAATGTGAAAGGTTGCAGGAGACGGGAATATCCGTGTTAACCGGTCTGACTTCCCCATAAGCTCATATTTGGACCCAGCCTGGCCTCCACCAGTCCTTCTGGCCTTCCTGTAGTTGCGTGAGATGGGGGTGCGGGCGAGGCGGGCGTCAAAATCAGTTTCTTATCTCTTCGTTCTTTCCTCAGCTCTCCCAGAGGAAGAGAAGGAGACGAGTCGAGACCCAAGGTATTTTACAAGTGTCATTTCATCTGACAGCCCTCACAGCGGCAATTTGCACAGATTCTCCTCAAAGCTCCCGCCCCATATCGCCGTCCTAAGGCCCTGGAGCTCCTGGACAAAGCACGGCCTCCAGGTCATCACTGCCCGCACGTCGGGGACCCCCTCCAGAAAAGAACGGACAGCCACCTAGGTCCCACCTGCTTGGTTGGTCATCAGTTCCGTGGAGGCGCTTAAAGAGAAATCTATAAGAACAGCAATAATAATAACACATTTGTATAACTCATTGTGCTAATTTGTATGCATGTGTTATGATTTCACGCTTGGGAGCCGTAGGCACCTGGAAGTAGGAGTAGCTGCTGGACAGCGGCAAGGGAGCGCGCAGCCAGCAGAAGGGAAGGGGCAGGCGCAGTCGATTAAGCCGTGGAAAGGGTACCTGGCAGGTAGGAAAGCAGCGCCGGAAGGCTGGTCAATGGCCCAGCGGAAGGAAGAGGGTTTTTTTTTTCCTTCTTAAGAAACTCTCGCTCTTCCCTGCATCCCTGCGCAGTCCTGTAGGGCCCAATTCCTTAGCTGTCCTGTTCCGTTCCCCCTCCCTTACTTGGAAAGGTGGCTCAGTCCTTCCCGCACGCGACCCGCTGGCGGTTGGGCCGGATGCAGGAAGTTTCTGATTGGCAGAGTCGCAGAAGCACCGGGTGAAAAGAGCTCCGTCGGCGGCGCGCCCGACCTCGGGCGTAGCCAATACCATACGGCAAGATGGCGTCCCCCAGGTACTTTGGGACGCCCCGAGGGGACAAGCCCGCCCTCTACTGGTCACAGGAAAGGGGGCCCCTGACCGTGTGGGCGGTACTGGAGGTGGGGCGGGCCTACCTCCACTTCCGGCCGCGGCCTGGCCGGGCGCCGTACGACAATATGGCCGCGTCTAGGTGGCTGGAGGCGGAAACTCCGCGACTTCCGGTCCAGAGAAGGGCCTGCGGTGGGAGGGGGAAGGAAGGCGGAGGGAACCATGCGAGGTTCTGAGATCAGCAGCGAGGGTCGCCTCGAGAGACCGTTTCTGAGGTGGGGGCCGGACCGTGCGGGGAGCGAAGGCGGGGGCGGGAATGTCGAGGGAGAGGTACTGGGGGGTCCCGGACGCTGAGTCTGAGGGGCAAGCTCTGGTACCTTCCTTCCAATCCCTGAAGGGGAGTGGGGCGGCCGGGGGGCTGAACTGGGGGAGGGGGACTTGGCGGGAAGCTCATTCAGGGGAAGGGGTCGGACGCGGGGTTGGGATCTGAGAGGAATCGGGAGAGTTCAGTGCTGGGCTCGCAGTCGGTTACAGGTCACAGGAGAGAATGGGAGAAATCGGGTGGGGTGAGAGGGAGGGGACTTGAGGTGAGATCTCTCCAACCTAACGCCCGGGTTTGAGGAGACCCGTCAGAGGGTGGAGTGTGAGGATAATTCAAGGAGGAGAAAGGGGAATGGATTGTTGGGAGGGAACCTCCTTCGCCTCAGAGAGTCTAGGAGTTAGGGGTGATTCTTTAGGATGGGGTGCGGGTGTGGATTGGATTTGACGTGTTTGAGAGCGAAAGGGGGAAGGCTCGTGAGGTGGTGCTGACGGGGGTGTGGTATCTGTGTGAGGGAATGTCGAGGAAATCCAGAGGGCAATGCGGGAGATGGTCCAGGGGTTGGAAGAATCAACTTGGCAAGTATGAGAGATAGTGGGGAAAACGAAACAGAGACTGGATAACGACAGGAGGGGTGCAGCTGGGGGTGGGGAACTTAAGGTTTTCAGGTGGTTTGGGGCTCCCGTAGTAAAAGGCCAGAAAAGCGTCTGGTACTAATAGTTGCTAAAGATAGGCGGTGAGGACACTGTTGGGCAGGGCTGGGTGTTACTGAAGCCCAAGAAGATTGGAAAATGTGTGAGATGAAGGGATGGGCTGTGCTGGAGGGGCTCTTTCTGAGGCCCCATCCCCTTCCAGCAGGAATCCCGAAATCCCCAACACTTCCTCCCTCCGGGGGATTTGACCCCCCATGGCCACCGCTAACAGCATCATCGTGCTGGATGATGATGACGAAGATGAAGCAGCTGCTCAGCCAGGGCCCTCCCACCCACCCCCCAATCCGGCCTCACCCAGGGCAGAAGCCCCTGGCTCCTCCCAGCCCCATGGGGCTGGAGGAAGCAGTAGTTCTGGCGGCAAGAAATGCTACAAGTTGGAGAATGAGAAGCTGTTTGAAGAGGTGAGCTTTAGGGGAGAAGATTCTTGGGCCCCAGGGAGGGGGATGGCTGACTGGCTCTCCTGTCCTTTCTTCCCCACTAACCCTGCCTCACCTTCTTTCTCTCAACCCCTCCCCTTGTCTCTTTCCCCCTCCCTTCCTCCTCTGAACCCTCTAGTTCCTTGGCCTGTGTAAGACGCAGACAGCAGACCACCCTGAGGTGGTCCCCTTCCTCTATAACCGGCAGCAGCGTGCCCACTCTGTGTTTTTGGCCTCGGCGGAGTTCTGCAACATCCTCTCTCGGGTCCTATCTCGGGCCCGGAGTCGGCCAGCTAAGCTCTATGTCTACATTAATGAGCTCTGCACTGTTCTCAAGGCCCATTCAGCCAAGAAGAAGCTGAACCTGGCCCCTGCTGCCACCACCTCTAGTGAACCCTCTGGAAATAACCCTCCCACAGACCCCTCCTCGGACCCCACAAATGCCAAGACCACTGCCTCTGAGGCCCCAAGGACCCGTGGTTCCCGGCGGCAGATCCAGCGCTTGGAGCAGCTGCTAGCGCTCTATGTGGCAGAGATCCGGCGGCTGCAGGAAAAGGAGTTGGATCTCTCAGAATTGGACGACCCAGACTCCACGTACCTGCAGGAAGCAAGATTGAAGCGTAAGCTGATCCGCCTCTTTGGGCGGCTTTGTGAGCTCAAAGACTGTTCTTCCCTGACGGGCCGTGTCATAGAGCAACGCATCCCCTACCGTGGCACCCGCTATCCAGAGGTTAACAGGCGCATTGAGCGGCTCATCAACAAACCGGGGCCAGATACCTTCCCTGACTATGGAGATGTGCTGCGGGCTGTGGAGAAGGCAGCTGCTCGCCATAGCCTCGGCCTCCCCCGACAGCAGCTCCAGCTCATGGCTCAGGACGCCTTCCGAGATGTAGGCATCAGGTTACAGGAGCGACGCCACCTTGATCTCATCTACAACTTTGGCTGTCACCTCACAGATGATTATAGGCCAGGTAGGGATTAGTGAGATGCCTGTCGATAACCCTTGTATGTCAGATGTTTGGTGGAGGGGGCATCTCTCTAGTCCCGTCTTCTGGGGTTTGGGCTGAGTACTCTGACTTTATGTCTTCCCACGTAGGCATTGATCCTGCATTGTCGGATCCTGCCTTGGCCCGGCGCTTGCGAGAAAACCGGAGCTTGGCTATGAGCCGGCTGGATGAGGTCATCTCCAAGTATGCAATGATGCAAGACAAGAGTGAGGAGGGCGAGAGGCAGAAGAGAAGAGCTCGGCTTCCTCGAGCTACCTCTTCCCACACTGCAGACCCCCCGAAAGCCTCCTTGGATTCTGGTGAGGTACGGAAGGGATAAACCCTTCCGACAGACCTTGTCCTTCCCCAGCACTGGCCAGCAGGGGTCTCAGGCTCACCGAGGGGGAAGAGTGCAGAGGGGTCTCAGGCTCACCGAGGGGGAAGAGTGCCGAGAGCCAGACCCTCCGGGGCAAGGGATTCCTTAGAGAAACCTCTCTGTCCCCCAGGGCCCTAGTGGAATGGCATCCCAGGAGTGCCCTACTCCTTCCAAGCCCGAGACGGATGATGAAGAAGATGAGGAAAGTGATGAGGAAGAGGAAGAAGAGGAAGAGGAGGAAGAAGAGGAGGAGGAAGAGGAAGAGGAGGCCACAGATTCTGAAGAAGAGGAGGATCTCGAACAGATGCAGGAAGGTCAGGGGGCCGATGAAGAGGAGGAGGAGGAGGAGGAAGCAGGTATGTCGAGAACAATCCCCTTGTGTGTCAGTTTCCTCTACTCTGTTGGATGTGAACCACCTGTTTGAGACCCTTCCCTTCCTCCCCTTACTCTCAGCAGTATTCTTGCCCGGAGTTCTCATGCTGCCTCTCCCCTCTTCTCTTCTTTTCCAGGCCAGGATGGAGACAGGAGCCCCATGTCCCCACCACGGATGTCCACTGAAAATAATCTGGAACCTAGCAAAGGGATCAGCAGGTCTGGGGGGGAACAGCAAAACAAAGGACTCATGGTGTCACCGTCTTCACTGTCAGAAGAGCCCTTGGCGCCCTCCAGCGTAGATGCTGAAAGCAATGGAGAACACCTCGAGGAGTTACCCCTGGAGGAGGAGAGCCCTGTGTCTCAGCTCTTTGAGCTAGAGATTGAAGCCTTGCCCCTGGATACCACCCCTTCCCCTGAGGAGAGGGACATTTCCTCTTCTAGGAAGCAATCAGAGGACCCCCTCACCACTGTCTTGGAGAATGGAGCGGCCATGGTCACCTCCACTTCCTTCAATGGAGGCGTCTCTCCTCACACCTGGGGAGATTCCTGTCCCCCCTGCAAGAAGTCTCGGAAGGAGAAGCAAACTGGAACAGGGCCACTGGGAAACAGGTAACAACAAAAACGAGGAGGGGGACGGAGGCCAAGGAGAGATTACAGGGGGCTTTCTGTGAGGAGTATTAAGGAACTGGGGCTGCTGGGAGAGACTGTACGCCACCCCTCCAGCCGCAGGCTCTCCATACCCCCCCTACATATTTGTGTTTCTGTCCCCAGCTATGTGGAAAGGCAAAGGGCAGTGCATGAGAAGAACAGGAAGAAGATACCTACCCTGTCCAGCCCACCTTCTCCCCTGACTTCCATGGCCCCAGTTGCTGATTCCTCGACGAGAGTGGACTCTCCTAGCCATGGCCTGGTGACCAGCTCCCTCTGTAGCCCATCTCCAGCCCGGTTGTCCCAAACCCCCCATTCACTACCCTCCCGGCCTGGTACTTACAAGGTAAGAGGGGGAGGCAGTTTTTCCCTAACTTAATTCTCTATCATTGTTTAGTTTCAGGTGTGCCATCTGAATATCACACACACCACATCTTCTCTCTTCCTTTTTCGTCACCCCTATTTTTAATCTCTGATAAGTCCTTCCCTCTGCTTCTCCTCCCCTTATATTCCAGACGTCTCTTTCTGACTCTTGTCTCTCACTCCCCTGCAGATGAGTGTGGCCACACAGTGCGATCCAGAGGAGATCATCGTGCTCTCAGACTCTGATTAGCTGCCTCTCCTCCCCCTCCCAGCCTCCAAAATGTTTTGGAATAGTATTTGGACGATGGTGGGAAGCTGATGACTGAGGAAGGGATTGACTGAGCTAATCCCCTTTTGGTGGTGTTTCTTTTAAAAAAAAAAAAACAAAACAAAAAACCAACAAAAACTTAAGTTTTACACAGAAACATTAATAAACAATAAAGTTCTTTTCTTATTGTATCCTTGTCTTTTCCTTGTCCTTCTATGCTCACCGCTTGGCACCAGCTGTTCTCTAGTTCAGGGTTACCCTGACCCTTGGCTACCCCTTGGAGCTGTCCTTTGTAGCCTGTCCTTAGATTGCCTCTCTCGGAGTTCCCTCGCCCTCAGGCCTTCCACTTGCCCTCTGCCAGGCACTAAAAAAAAAACGTGCTTCGGTGTCCGCAACGCGCTTTACTTTCTCACTTTGAGCGGTAGGAGTAAAAAGGCCAATCAGGGGCCGACTCAAGGTTATTTGGCCAATCCGTGCCCGGAGGAAGGGGGCGGGGCTCCAGGGGGACTGTCAGAGCTGGGAGAGCCGGGCGATTAGATCCCGCAAACCGACTAATGGCCACAGTTCAGGGGCGGGGCCTACGCAGCAATGGCCAAGACCCTTGGCCAATGGGAAGGGCAGGCTTACAGAATTAAAGGGGAATGAGTGCTTCGGCCGAACCACCAAGCCCTGAGCTCTTCAGCGGCGGAAGAGGCCTGGTACCTTTAAGGTGGAATGAGACAGCTGTTCTTTAAAGGAGAAGTTGCCGAGTCGGCCGAGTATTGCCCAGCGGCACGGGCGGGGGTGCCCGCCTGTCCCTTTAAAGCCGGAGGGGCGGGAGGCGGAGCGGAGGCGGAGGGCGGAGGGAGTCGGCGCAAGATGGCGGCGGGAGGGGCCCAGGCTGCGGCTCTGGCCGCCGAGTGAGGGGCGGGGGGGCCCGGGGGCGCGCGGCCCGGTAAGCGGGGACGCGCGGCGTTGGGGGGCGCCTTCCGGGTGGGAGAGGAGGTCGAAGTAGCGCTTGGGGCGGAGCAGAGGGGGGCGGGGTCCGGTGTGGGCGGGGGTAGACAAGGGGCGGGGCCGAGAGGGCCACGGGGGTGGGCTTTGAAGAGGCGGGGCCGAAAGGGCCAAGGGGCGTGTCTTGAGGGGCGGGGCTAGAGGTAAGCCGGGGGCGGGGGGCAAAGGGGGCCTTGGCTCGCGGAAGAGCTTGGGGGGGGTGCATAGCCTAAAAAACACATGGATGGGGGGATGGTTCTCAGTACAGGAACAGAGTTGCCCCCTCCCAATAAAAGGGTGCAAAACACCAATAAGGTAAATGGAAAGTCAGCCTCTCAGGCAAATGGGAAATTACGAGGAGAGGCACTCCATTCCCCAAGAACACCTCATTTCTCTAATCTCCAAGGAAAGAGCACTGGATTTGGAGTCAGGACATCTGCGTTTGCTGGCACTGTCACTTACTGGCTGTGTGATCTTGGATAATCTCGTAATCTTTCTCAGCCTCAGTTTACTGTCAAATAGGGTTGAGAGGGATACCTACCTTACAGTGTTGTTGTGGGGAATTACTCAGATAAAGGGTGTGACCATGTTTTTAAACTGTAAAGGGAAGGGCTGTGTCATTATGAGATGTTACCATTCTTCTCTCTTTTTCTTCCCAGAGACCCCCCCGGCCGCCCTCCTCCTTCCCTTGTTCCTGTGGCTGGGGGGGTACCCCCTCCCTCCACGCCATGGAGCCATCTCCTCTCTCTCCCAGTGGGGCAGCACTCCCCCTGCCTCTATCACTGGCCCCACCCCCACTACCCCTGCCTGCAGCTGCAGTGGTACACGTGTCCTTCCCTGAGGTGACCAGTGCCCTCCTGGAATCCCTCAATCAGCAGCGGCTACAGGGCCAGCTCTGCGATGTGTCCATCCGAGTGCAGGGCCGAGAGTTCAGGGCTCATCGTGCTGTCCTGGCTGCCTCCTCCCCTTACTTCCACGACCAGGTTTTACTCAAGGGCATGACCTCCATCTCGCTCCCCAGCGTCATGGACCCAGGCGCCTTCGAGACTGTCCTGGCTTCGGCTTACACTGGCCGCCTCAGCATGGCTGCTGCTGACATTGTCAACTTCCTCACAGTGGGGTCGGTGCTCCAAATGTGGCACATCGTGGATAAGTGCACTGAACTCCTCCGCGAAGGCCGGGCCTCAGCCGCCACCACCACCGTCACCACTGCTGCAGCCACCTCTGCCACTGTCCCTGGTGCTGGGGTCCCATCAGGGAGCGGGACTACCGTGGCCCCTGCCACCATGGGCTCTGTGCGCTCCCATGCCTCCAGCCGGGCCAGTGAGAATCAGTCCCCCAGCAGCAGCAACTACTTCAGCCCCCGAGAGTCCACTGATTTCTCATCTTCCTCCCAAGAGGCATTTGCAGCTTCTGCAGTGGGCGGTGGGGAGCGTCGCGGAGGTGGCCCTGTATTCCCAGCCCCTGTGGTTGGCAGTGGGGGGGCTACCTCTGGGAAGCTGCTGCTGGAGGCAGATGAGCTCTGTGACGACGGCGGGGATGGGAGGGGTGCTGTGGTTCCTGGGGCTGGGCTCCGGCGACCCACCTACGCACCGCCCAGCATCATGCCACAGAAGCACTGGGTATACGTGAAGCGGGGCGGAAACAGCCCAGCACCAGCACCCCTGGTTCCCCAAGACGCAGATCTGGAAGAGGATGAGGAGGAGGAAGACCTGGTGTTGACCTGTGAGGATGATGAAGATGAAGAGCTGGGGGGTGGCTCCAGAGTTCCTGAGGCCGGAGGACCTGAGGCTACTCTTAGCATAAGTGATGTCCGGACCCTGACTGAGCCCCCGGACAAGGGAGAAGAGCAGGTCAATTTCTGTGAGTCTTCCAATGACTTTGGCTCTTATGAGGGTGGGGGTCCCGGGGCAGGGCTTGATGATTCAGGGGGGCCAACCCCTTCCTCCTATGCCCCCTCCCACCCTCCGAGGCCCCTGCTTCCCCTGGACATGCAGGGCAACCACATCCTGGTCTTCCCATCATCTTCATCTTCCTCCTCCTCCTCACAGGCTCCAGGCCAGCCACCAGGGAACCAAGCCGAGCACGGGGCGGTGACCCTGGGGGGCACCTCGGCAGGGGCCCTGGGCGTGCCGGGTGGTGCCGGGGGGACCCCTGGAGGGACAGGCAGCGGGGATGGGAATAAGATCTTTTTGTGCCACTGTGGGAAGGCCTTCTCCCACAAGAGCATGCGCGATCGCCATGTGAATATGCACCTCAACCTGCGGCCCTTTGACTGCCCCGTGTGCAACAAAAAGTTTAAGATGAAGCACCACCTGACCGAGCACATGAAGACACACACAGGCCTCAAACCCTACGAGTGTGGCGTCTGCGCCAAGAAGTTCATGTGGCGAGACAGCTTCATGCGCCACCGGGGACACTGTGAGCGCCGGCACCGCCTGGGCGGGGGCGGGGGCGGGCCGGGACCCGGGGGACCCTCCGGGCCGGCCTTGCCACCCAAGAGAGAATCCCCCGGAGGGGGCGGGGGCAGCGGCGACGAGGCGAGTGGAGCCACGCCCCAGTCCAGCCGAAGGGTCTGGTCCCCACCCAGCGTCCACAAGGTGGAGATGGGCTTTGGTGGAGGTGGAGGAACGAACTGAGGCGGCAGGCTCCCGGAGGTAGCTTTCCGGATGGAGGAAACAGGGAGCACGAGCCAGGGGCGCTGTGGCCCCTCAGGTGATCTTCCACCACGCTTAATGTCTTCCGTATCTCTGTGGACTTGTATATATTTTGGGAGAGGGACCCGTCTTGCACCATCGGCCGCCCCATTCCATTCCTCAGCCACTCTCCCACGACGTATCCCCGGAACTGAGTCCTTCCTTCCTCTCAGATGCATACACTGAAGCCCCAGCTCCAGACTGGGGCACATATGGTCGGGGGGAGGGAGAGGGAGAGGGCGCCATGGAGCATTCTGGAGTCACAGGGTCAAGGGTCAGGTGGTTGTAGTCTGTACATGAAGTCTGTGTGTGTGTTGTTGTGGGGACCAGGCCTTTGAGCCCCGCCCTTGTCCTAGAACCCACCCCACCTCCCTAAGGACGTGCCCCATATTTCCACCCTCATCCCTCCTATCCCTCCTTGGGGGCCCCCCAGCTGGATTCTCACTGAGGAGGGAGTGAAGACAAGGAGGGAGTAAGTCGTAAGAATACAAGGTTTTTATTTTAAATCTTATTTTTTTTAAATGGTGATTAAAATATTTATTGGTCATTTCACTCGGCTTACCAACAGCCCCTCTGTGTTTGCTGCAGCCCCGGCGCAGGTGGGGGAAGGCGGAGTAACCGAACTCTGGGAAGTAGAGTCTGGGGGGCAGGGCACGGTGGGAGGAGGAGCCTAGGGTTGGGGAGGGCCCCGGGACTGGGTGGTGCTCTGTGGGCCAAGAGGGCGGGGCGGGGCGGGGCCCGAGGTCCCCAGAACAGAACCGGAGATACCGTTTCGGGATCCCTACCCGGCCAGTGCGGAAAGCACCTGCCGCTCACGTGCCCTCACCCAACCGGAGAGGGGACTTCCTCCGCCTCTCCTGCCGGCCTTTCAAGGAAAGTGAAAGTGAAAGGGAGAAGTGGAGGCTTCGGGGCTGAGCAGATCGCGGCGCCATGAAGCCCCTGTCTCTGCCCCTCACCGTGGCTTTGGGTGAGCGAACCCCGAGACTCTGCCCAAGAACAAGGGGGAGGCGGGGGGAGGTGAGCCCACCCCGCGCCGGACGCTGGGGGGCGAGTCGCCCCCTCACTCGTGCCCCTCTCCCCCAGCCTTGGTGACCGCCGTCTCGGCGGGACCCGCGGTGATAGAGTGCTGGATGGTGGAGGATGCGGGCGCGGGCCGCCTGACCAAGAAACCCGCTGCACTGCTGCTGCGCCAGGGCCCGGGGACCCCACCTCCCCGACCGGACCTCGAACCCGAGCTCTACCTCAAAGTGCATGGTGAGTCATCCCGGACTCGCCCTCAACACTGTCACTTCCACCGAAACCCCCTCCTCTTTAGGTCGCGCTGTGACCTCGGGCCTCAGTTTCCCCCTGTAAGATGAGTCTGGATTACCTCTAAATCTCTCACTACTGGGTAGTTTGTGCATTCGGGATTCCCTGGACGCTGCCCTCCCGTCCCTTTCCTGGCGGCGACTGCAGCAGCAACTCCCTTCTCCCGGCTCACAGACCCCGCGGGAGCACTCCAGGCTGCCTTCAGGCGGTACCCCTCGGACGCCCCCGCGCCACACTGCGAGCTGAGCCGCTACGTCCCGCTCCCCGCTTCGGCGATTTGGGCCAGGGGCCTGACCCCCGAGCAGAGCTGCCCGCGGTCCCTGGACGGGACTTGGCTCATGGTCAGCATGTCCAGCCCGATCTTCAGCCTCTCCAGCCTCCTGAGACCACAGTCCGAGCCTCAGCCCGAGCCTGCTCTCATCACCTTGGCAACAGGTAGCGGTGGAGAGGAGTGGGTAGATTCTAAGGGTCTACATCAGCCTGGGACTCGCGCTGTGAACTCGTTTGCCCAATCGGGGCTTAGTTTCCTTCTATGTAAAGCGAGGCGGTTCGGCTAGGATTGTTTAATTGATCTAAACGGCTTCTTCTAGCTCCTGCCCAGTTTCAAACAAAATAATCACAATCCTGGGTTTAGGGGCGGGGTTTCGTGGAGTTCCGGAGGGCTGAGCTTTGGAGAAAGTCTGACTTTCCTGACACCGGACCTTGAGAAAATTGTAAGGGTGTGGGGCTGGGAGGGGCTCAGAAGCAAGAACTTTTTTTCTCCTCTCCTCCCAGATCTGTGTCTTGCTAGATAGACACTGCCATCTTTAAGGTTTTCCCTGTTTCAGAAACCAGCGTCCAAGCCCCACCCGTGCCCACATCCGGAGCTGTGGCACTTAGCAAGGCAAAGGCTCTTGCACTCCAGCGCGTTGAACTTTCTTGCCAGCCCCTTCCCCATGGCTCATGAGGATGCGCTGATTCTGTGGTCACCAAATGGTGGGCTGGACTGGGCGGAAGAGACCGGGCAGGCGGCCTGACGGCTCCCACTGAGAGCATCACTTACTGCATGGTGCAACGCTGTTTGACGGGCAGGGATCTGGCACTTTGCTGAGCTGAGGCTTGAGGGGGGAGTGGGCGGATAAAGCAAGAATGGGGTACCTAGGGGCTCGCCATTCTTGCAGCAGAGGGTGGGTAGGATACCAGTAGAGTCTTTGGCTTCCCTCAGCCTTGTGAATTTTAAGTTTATTTAAAGTTTATGTATGTATATATGTATGTAAGTATCTCTTACAATACCCAGTATTGGGCTCAAACTCAAGACCCTGAGATCAAGAGCCACAATGCTCTTCCAACTGAGCCAGCCAGGTGCCTCTTGGGCGATTTTTTGTTAAAAAAACTGGCAGGCCAACCGCTCCCTTCTCCCTTCCCCAGGACCACTTTCCAGCCACCCCCCTCCCTGAGAGTGGATCACCCACAGGACCAGGGAAAGGGACTCAGCACCCACCCACCACCTCTGCCTACGCTGCCATTCTAAGTTCCCGGGCCCCATCCTAGGCAGGGTTGGAGGCAAACTGCTCCTGGTGGGGCTAGTAGCTCTCTCCAGTGGGGAGGAGTATTTCCCAGGGCTGCTGGCTCCATCAAGATGGGGGGTGAGAAAATGCTTTTCTTTCTGAGTCAGTTTTTCCAACTATAAATGTGGATGCTATTTCCCATCTGCCTTTCCGTTGTTGTGACTCTCAGGGGAGGCACTTTGTTAATTTATTCACTGGTTCAATATTTATTAACACCAAGGAGAAATTAGGGCCCAGTTGGTTCTCAGTCCAGGCTGCAAATAAGAGTCCTCTTGGAAGTTTCTGAAATATACTGAATTGTCCCACTCCAGGCGAATTAAATCAGAATCTCTGAGGTGGCCCTGGGCACTTTTAAGGGTCAGGAAGGTGATCAGATGTAGATTCTGCTCTCAAGGTTTTCGGCAGATTTGTCATGGTTAATTGTGAAATAGAGCAGAAGACAATTTGGGCCATGAGAGAAGTGTAGGTAGGAGCCATGGAAGGCCCAGGTGGGAAGATTTTTTGCTTCTCATAGACCCCTGGGGTAAAAACTAGTTACTGTGCTCAGTCTCCCTTTTCAAGCATTTCTGCTTGATTGGGGATTGAAGAAAATGAAAGTTGTTGTTTTAACGTAAGATTTAAAATGAATCCTTTAGGGGTACAGATCATTGGTAAGTTTGCTAATATACATTTATACAGTATTTCTTAGCAAATACTTTAAAGTGTTTGTTGACAAATACACTGTCCTAACATACTTTGTGTGTATGGTTTTTTAATTCTCATCGTTCTTTTAATACATTGTCATGGAAAATTTCAAAGACACATAAAAGTAGAGAGAATGGTCGAATGAACCCCGTAGACCCATCTCCCACTTGTGTAGTTAGTAGGTTTTACCATATTGTTTTGCCGACTCTCCTCCCGTCTATTTCCTTTTTTTGAAGTGTTTTAAAGTATATACCAGGCATCATATGATTTTACTCATAAGTACTTCAGTAAGCATCTCTATCAAATAAGGACTTAAAAGAAACCATTATCATAACAAACAATAATTCTTTAATATCACTTAATTCCTAGCCCATATTAAAAATTTCCCAACTTCTCAGTGATGTTATTTTACAGTAGATTTGCTTGAATCAGGATCGAAAACAGGCCTCTCTATATGTTACATTTGGTTCTTGCATCTGCTTGGGTTACCATAGCAAAATATCATAGACTGGGTGTCTTAAATTTATTTTCTCACAGCTCTGGAGGCTAGAAGTCCCAGGTCAAGTCTAAGAGAGAGCTCCACCCTTGTGGTTGCACATGGCCACTTCTGGCTGTGTTCTCACATGGAGGAGAGAGAGGGAACTCTGGTGTTTCTTCCTCTTCTTAAAAGGACACCAGCATATCAGGTAGAGCCCTGTGTTAATTATCTCATTTGACCATGATCACCTCTTCACAGCCCCTATCTCCAAGTACAGTTGACCCTTGAACAACTGTGGGGGGGGGGGCAGGGAGCCGGTTATAGGCGCTGACCCCGCCCCCAGCAGTCGAAAATCTGCATACACTTGACTCCCCCAAAACTTAACCATTCATAGCCTACTGTTGACAAGAAACCTTACCGATAACATAAAGTTGATTAACACATATTTTATATGTTATATACTGTATTTTTATAATAAAGTAAGCTAGAGAAAAGAAAGTGTTATTAAGAAAATTAATCATAGGGGCACCTGGGTGGCTCAGATGGTTGGGTGTCTGCCTTCGGCTCAGGTCATGATCCCAGGGTCCTGGGATCGAGTCCCACATCGGGCTCCCTGCTCCGCGGGAAGCCTGCTTCTCCCTCTGCCTCTCTCTCTCTCTCTCTCTGACTCTCATGAATAAATAAAAAACATTAAAAATAAATCATAGGAGAAGAAAATATATTTGTAGGACTGTACTGTAAAAAAACCCTGCATATAAGTGGACCCTCACAGTTCAAACCTGTGCTGTTCAAGGGTCAAAAGTATAGTCACATTGCAGGTTAAGGCTTTAACAAATGAACTTGGGGGGGGGTACCACAGACATTGAGTCCATAACAGTTTTGTCTCAAGTCTCCATTATTCTATAATTGCCTCGCACCGCTCCCCCCCCCCCCCATGCTAGTGGTTTGTCACTTGTCCTGTATAACTTTCCACATTCTGTATTTGGCCAAGTATTTCTTCATTGTGTCATTTTCCTCCTTGTTCCTTTTTCTTCCATACTGCCTATGAATTTGATAGATCTAGAAACTTGATTAGATTTGGGTTTAAATTTTTTCAGTAATGCTTTATAATAGTTGTTACCATTCAGTTTATTTTATTTTTTTAAGATTTTATTTATTTGAGAGAAAGAGAGTGTGTGCGCACAAGCAGGGGGAGTGGGAGAGGGTGAAACCGGCTTCCCGCTGAGCAGGGAGCCCGATGTGGGGCTCGATCCCAGGACCCTGGGATCATGACCTGAGCTGAAGGCAGATGCTTAACGACTGAGCCACCCAGGCGCCCCTACCATTCACTTTATTAACAGAAAAGCAAAAACCTATGTAATGCAAGCTGTAAAAACAGGTACAAATTTCCTTCATGTTCTGGCCCTGTTGTATTTACATTTGTATTTCTCAGAGTCCAGTTTGTGGGATGCAGGTCTAAAATTGCTCCATCAACCGATATTAAAGAGCACTGTTAGGTTAAGGGTTAAACTGTAAAACCTTCAGATTTTGTTTATTAATCCTGTGGATTGTTTTTAACAATTCAAAAGTATGTTTCTGGATTTTGATAAATGAAGTGAATTGCCTACCTTTTTACTTTATTGAACAAAAACTGTCCCATGTGGTTGAGAGAAGTTTAACTTTGTGGGGCTCAGAAACTAGGATTAAAAATGACAAAATCACAAGAGAAGATTACTTTTATGTGAAGGACCGACATTTCTGGGAAGAAGGAGCAGTAGAACTGACCTTGAGGGACATGGAGTATTTAGATATTTGGGAGACAATGGGGAGGGCCCTGAAGGAAACTCATGACCATAGCAAGGATAGGCCCAATGATTAGAGTTTCTACTAGCCACGAGAAAGGGATTCTTTGAAGCCAGTTCTTAGGGTGCCTGAGAAGTCTGGAAGGGTGGGTTGGGGGCTGGATTGTCAAGTACCCTGAGATCTGGGCTTTATAGGTAACAGTGAATCATCATCAGTTTTGTGTGTGTGTGTGTGTGTGTGCACGCACACGCATGCCATTATCCCAAAAGCCTGCTATTTTACTTGATTCTTACAAAGTTAGGCAAGGATCAGATCACTGGACTAATGAGAAAAATATAGATGAACGATTTTCCTGAGATGCCAAGCAAGTCCATGAGGATGATGGCAGTAATGGAAATAGCAACACCTAACATTTATTGAGCATTTTCTATAGCCAGGTACTGGCATTTTATTGGCATAATCTCATTTATTCCTCTCAACAACCATCGGAACAAGGTACTGATATCATCTCCATGTCACAGATGAAGAAATCTTGAGACAGAGCACTTGGGGAACTTGTCTGAGAACCGCCAGCTTGTAAGAAGCTGGGCTGGGACTTGAGCTGGGCTCATTTATCTCCAGCCTGTGCCTTTAGTCGCTGGCTCCGCAGGTAGCTGGGTTTTTTAAACAGGTATGTGACCTGATCAGATGTGTAGCCACACCTTGTGGCTCCAGCGTGGCGGATGCACTGAAGAACAGGCAGATTGAGGATGGGAAGACCTGAGAGGAGGTTGTAATTGTCCTAATGTATGGTGGTGAGAACTTGAGCTGGAGACAGAGTGGGATCTCTTTGGAAGACCGGTGGGGACAGCACATGGTATGTTATATTTGCCAATTTGCTCATCTGTCTCCCTTACTAGACTGTAAGAAACTTGAGGGAAGGGACTGCCTGTCTCATTTACTGCTGTCCTCTACCTTGAACATCGTAGGTGCTCAGTAAATATTAGTTGAGTGAGAGAATTTGTGACTCCCGAGTGTTTGCCTTTAGTGTCTGGGGGCCTGCTGGTGATCATTCATCAAGGCAGGGGGAATGGGCATTGGAGCTGGGCAAGGGAAGGCTGCGGAGATGCTGTTGAGTTGGGGCATGTTAAGTTGGTCTGGCAGACGGTTAGATGTAATCACCGCAAACACTTTGGTGGACTTACTGTATTCTGGGCACTGTTCGAAGCACCTTTCCGATACAGGTGTCCTTGTTTTTTTTTGTTTTAAGATTTTATTTATTTGACAGAGAAGTACACAGCCAGAGAGGGAACACAAGCAGGGCGAGTGGGAGAGGGAGAAGCAGGCTTCCCGCCGAGCAGGGAGCCCGATGCGGGGCTCGATCCCAGGACCCTGGGACATGACCTGAGCCAAAGGCAGACGCTTAACCCTCTGAGCCACCCAGGTGACCCCACAGTTGTCCTTGTTATCCAGAATCCGGAACTGAATAAATCTGGGTAGCAAGAGGCATTAAATGATTTAACCCTCATTACAACCCCATGAGATAGGTACTATTATCATCATTATTATCTCATCATTTAGGAGATTAAGCTGAGCCACGGCAACGTGAAACAACCGGCCCACCGGGCCATATAAATAGAGACAGAGTGGGGATTAACCAGGGTGGCCAGGCTCCAGGCACTTAACTAGCGTACCCTTCCTCAGTAGAGCACAGAGGTCTGTGTTCAGGTCTAGGCTAGAGCCAGAACCTTCCAGAGTCAGTAAGCGCTCTGTACAGCACCAGACGACTGACAGCCCTGAGTCATCACAGTCTTCTCGAGTGAACCAAGAAAGGCCTGGCTCTTGAAGGGCGGTGCATGGAGACTGGACTGGTTCAGGCCGTGTCAGAAGTGCACTCAGAGCCCACTGTCCCCAGAACTCGAGTGGGCTGTGTGCTCAGCCCAGCCTTCAACGGCTGTGCCCGCTCACTGCCCCTATTCCAGACCCGTCTGCTCACTCTGGGTCCCACGCAGGCCCAGAACAAAGGGGATGTGCAGGGAGGACTAGAAGATGGTGAGTATCAGAAAAGGAGGTGTCCTCTGAGGGGTGGGTGAATTCGAGTTGGGTCCTCCCTATAACTCTATTTCTCTGTGTTTTTTCTCTTTCTTTCTGCCCTTCATGTGCCCCTTCCACTTCCTCCTCTTCTCATCTTCCCCAGCTGTGCTGACTGTCCTCACCCACACCCCCACCCCTCGGATCCAACTGGGACAAGATGCTCTGCTGGACTTGAACTTTGCCTACATGCCCCCCAGCTCTGAGGCCGCTACATCTGTGGCCCCTGGCCCCCCTCCCTTTGGGCTGGAGTGGCGACGCCAGCACCTGGGAAAGGGGCACCTACTCCTGGCTGCAACTCCAGGGCTGGGTGAGCAGATGCCAGCCGCCCAAGAGGGGGCAGTGGCGTTTGCCGCTTGGGATGATGATGAGCCATGGGGTCCGTGGACTGGCAATGGGACCCTTCAGCTACCTGCAGTACAGCCCTTCCAGGAGGGCGCCTATCAGGCCACTGTACACCTGCCGTACCTGCAAGGGCAGGTCACCCTGGAGCTTGCTGTACAGAGTGAGTTGTGGTACAGGGGTCCCCACGGGTAAACGGTGGGCACTGGGATTATGGCGACACCATGATGGCAGAGGGCTAGGGAAGAAGACGGTGCTGGGTGAGTGGTGGGAAAGACTGGGGTCCCTGAGAGTCAGAGGGGCAATGGGTGGAGGTCCCTGGGAATCTGAGTGACTGGGATGAAGGTTCCCGAATCTGAGGAATAGGGGATCCCTGAGAATAAGGGTTTTAGCATGGGGTTTCCTGTGAAGCACCAGTGGGGAGATAGCAGGTTCCCCATCCTGGAAGAAAAAACCCAAACCCACCTCAGTTTGGGGGAAGTCATAGGGCAAACTGAGGGTCTCTGAGGGAGGACGGATGTGGACTGATTCCCCCCCATGCTCCTTTCCTATTTTCTCCCCAGAGCGCCCCAAAGTATCCCTGACGCCGGCACCTCTTGTATGGGCTGCCCCCGGGGAGGCACCCCCCGAATTGCTCTGCCACGTGTCCCACTTCTATCCCTCCGAGGGCCTGGAGGTGAAGTGGGAGCTCCGGGGCGGCCCAGAGGGCAGCTTTCAGAAGGCTGAGGGGCAGAGGTGGCTCTCTGCCCTGCGCCACCACTCAGACGGCTCTGTCAGCCTCTCTGCGCACCTGCAGCCCGACCCAGTCACGGCCAAACACCATGGGGCACGCTATGCCTGTCGCGTCCACCACCCCACCCTGCCTGCCTTGGGGCGCAGCGCCGAGGTCACCCTGGAGGTGGCAGGTAGGAGTCAGAAGGATGGAGCAGCCAGGGGTGGGCACCTGGGAGGATACTACTGAGTTCACTCTCCGCCCCCCTTCCACCTGCCAGGTCTCTCTGGGCCCTCCCTAGAGGACGGCGTGGGCCTCTTCCTGTCTGCCTTTCTCCTCCTCGGGCTCATCAAAGCGCTCGGCTGGGCGGGTGAGTGTGACCCTCCCTGCCACAGTAACAGTCCCTGCCTGCTCCCAGAAACCTGACACCTGTCCCTCTTCTGCCCTACCACTCCCTCATACCATCCCTTCTCAATCTCTCTCCGCAGCTGCCTACAAGTCCACTTTGAAGGATTCAAAGGAGAAGGTAACAGCTCTCCTTCTTTTCTTTCCATTCTCATTTGAGCCCCTCCCTGTAACTCCTCACCCAAGGACTCCTCATCCAAAGTCCACCCTGGATTTGGAATTCACACAGACCTGGGCTAACTCCTGCCACCTTGAATATTCTATTTAACACCTCAGTTTCCTTCCTTGAGTGTAAGGATGAAAATAAGTGTCCAGGCAAAAGCACTCTGCCCAGTGTCTGCCAGGCAGAAAACTGACAGAAACCGTTAGCCCCGTTCCTCTGCCACCCTCTGTGCCCACGAGGGTTCATTTATCTCTGGACTGATCATGAGCATTTCACCTGGCTTTCTGAAACCTGGAATTCCTCACCTCCTTTTTATTTCTCTTCCAGAAAGCACAGTGAGGGCACTCATCACCATCCTGGGGAAGCCACCATCATCTCTGGCCTGAGCTACTGCAGTAGCGCCCCCAAATAGTACACCATCATCTGCTCATGCTCCCTCCAGTCTCTCTCCACAGAGCAGCTGGAATGCTTTTCCAAAGGACACAAACCTATAGCATTTCCTCTCTTAGAGCTCTAAGGCAGTGGGTCTCAAAATTTTTAAATCTCAGGACCGCTTAAAAATTGTCAAGAACTCTAAAGAGCTTTTGGTTATGTGGGTGATAAACTATAGATATTTATGCTACTGGAACTTAGTAAGTTATGCTACTTACTTAGTAAGTTCTAGTAGCATAAATTGCTTAGTAAGCAAGCCCGCGTTCCATGAGCTGGGAGGACAATGTTGTCAATGGCTTCTGGAAAGCTCCAGTGTACATTTTTTTTTTTTAGAGAGAGTGAAAAAGGCAAATAACATCTTAGTATTGTTATGAATGGCCTTAACTTCGCACACCCACCGAAACAGTCTCCAGGACCTCTGGGACAAGGGCCACACTTGGAGAACCAGTGCTCTAGAAGCCAAATCCATTTCTTCTCCTGGCCTAGGCATCTCCCGCGCTAGAGCCACTGCTTGCCTCTTCAACCCCACCTGGTGCCCTGCGGCCCTTCCCTCAGTGTTCGCCACACCGATGGCTATTTCTTTTATTCCAATGGCTCCCACCTTCCCCGGTCTGTTCCCTTTGTCTGGTCCACCCTCGCCCTTCTTAGGCTCCAGACCAGGTCAGCCTCGTTACTCCCTCAGACCGCCGCGAGTCCCTCTTGTGCGGTTCACCACAGTTGTATTTGAGTGACTGTGCGAGCCGTTGTTAGATGCCTGTCTCCCCTCCCGGGCTGTCGGCTCCTCAAAGGCAAGAACGTGCCTGTCTGTCCACTGCTGTGTCCCCGCTCAGGCACAGGGCCGGGCGCCCACTGGAGGGCGCTCAGCACAAGAAATCAGTCCTTTTTTTGTCCTAAGTACTCAAAAGCAAGTGTTCGACCAAAGAACTACTGGACGAAGGAAGCGGCAGCTGGCCTGGGGACCTCCGAGGGGGAGGACCGTCGGCTAGACCGACGCGGGAAGCGGATCTAATCGTGTGGGAATAAAGTTGTGTTCCAGTGCTCCCCACAGCGTGTCTCATTCTACCCCACGGGTCCCCTTTGCAAGCAAGCACAGACTCTTATAGCCACCTCTGGTCCCTTACCCCGGACCTCTCAAATGCTTTGGCGACACCCACCCCTCCGGAAAAGTCGGGGTCGAGCACCACTAATGGCGGGCAGGACGCCCTCTAGCAGCGGGCTTTCGTGGGGGCGGGGGGCGGCGGTGAGCAGAAGGGAGCGTACGTACCAGCGCCGGACGCCGGAAACCCGGGCGGGCCGAATCTAGAACCGGAAGTGGCGGCTTCCTGCTCCGCCCCCTTACGAGAGGGCCGGAACCCCGCGCTCCTCGGAAAACGCGGAGTGGATTCCGGTCCGCTACACGCGTGGGTGTGGGTGGGGAGCGTAGCCCCGCGGGGTGGAGTAACCGATTCCCCTCGGCCTAAAACGCTTCCCACGCGAGTTTTAGCCTCAGTGTTGTGGGGTGGAGGGGAATGTCAAATTCGGCTCCTGTCCTCCCCCGGGAGCTGGAGACTGGAATCTTTATTCCAGTCAGTGCGGGGCTACGTGGGCTCCAGGATCCCCGCGTAGGGGGCACCGAGGACAGCGGAGCTGGGGACCCTGGCTGCTGGGTCTCGGCCCCTGGGCGTCCAGCGCTCTTCTCGTCCGCGGCCCTGGCTCCTGTCCTCACTTCCTTCCCTTTTTGGCTCCTGCTGTCGGAGCGGGCGGACGTGGGGGGGAACGGAAAGGGCGGGAGGGCCCGGGAGCCTGGAGGGGGAGGTAACCGGGGGGTGCGGAAAAGCCGAGGAGGGGACTCGGTCCAGGGACTCGGTTGGGGACCGGAGACCGACGGGAACAGCGGCCCGGGACTCGCGCTGCTCCCACCATTCCCGAGCAGGTCAGAGCCAGAGCACCCTGTGACCCTGCCCGTTCCGGGACTCGTGACCCCCATCCCCAAAATGCACCAGGGACCCCCATATTCCACTCTTGTGTTGCTCCCCCCCAGGACTCCCATACGGTCACTTAGGCACCCACTCGCGTCCCTCCCCTTCCCGATGCCCCCGCGCCCGCCTGACTCTCCACCTGCCCCCCCCGTTTCTCCCCAGGCGCCCCCATGGCCCGACCCCGCTGATTCCTTCATTCGGCCATGCTCCCGCGGCCCCTGCGGCTGCTTTGGGACACGAGTCCCCCCGGGGGAGTCGTGCTGAGCAGCTTCCGGAGCCGAGACCCCGAAGAGGGTGGGGGCCCAGGTGGCCAGGGCGTGGGCGGGGGGCAGGAGGAAGAGGAGGAGGAAGAAGAAGACGAGGTGAGACTCGAGTGGTGGGAAGTCGGGGAGGTATACATTTCGGAGACTCTCCACCTTTCTCTCGTGTCTCTGTGTCCCTTCATCTCTTCCTCCCAGCCTCAGTTATTTCCGCGCCTCTTGCTGGGTGTCTGCCTGTCTCCCCGCTGCGGGGAGTCCCGGAGTTTCTGTGGTTCCCCGTGGCAGTGTGACTCAGGACCTGCCCGCAGGAACCTTTCCAGTTCCTGCCAGAGCGGCTGGCTCTGTTCTACGAGTCTCTGGCTCTCCCTGCTTCGGCCAGATTGTACCTGTCTCTCTGGGCGTCCTGTCTTGGTCCCTGTCGCCCTCCTTGTTTTTGTTTGGCGGGGAGGGGTTTGTTTCCACAGTAACCGGCTCCTCTGACTCTGGGATTGGGGAGGGAACCCTTCGATTTCGTGACCCCTCCCCCTCTCCCGCTGGGCAACGAGTGGAGGCGGGAAGCCCAGGTTCTTGGACTTCGGAGGGATCCCAGGCCGAGTGGGGGGGGAGGTCACCTGCTTTCCTCCGGGACTAATGATGGTGGCCAGAAGCAGGATTTGGGGCCTCAGGAGGGGCCAGAAATTGGATTCGGGGCCCCGAGGCCCTGGACTCCTGGGTCCAGAGACTGGGTGAGGGCAGGGTGACTGGCAGGGCTGGTTTTTCGGGATCGGTTGGGGGAGGGGCTGGGGCCACGTGACTCTCCGAGTCGGCTGGCGGGGGGGGGGCCCCCCCATCATCCCAACTTCCCCTTCCCCTTCCTGTACTGGGATTGGAGCCGCCACCTTGAGGGGGGTCTCCCAGCATTGGGGGACCAGGGAAAGTGGGCTAAGGGGAAGGACTAACTCTTGGGGCTTGGTCAGTTCCTGCCGGGGAGGGCGGAGCTTGCGACTGTGCCTGTGACTGGGGTTCCAGCTTCTCAAGGTCTCTGCCTCTGGCTTTATGACTCTCTCGCTTCCCCCTCCTATCCTTTGCACCTTCTCTGCTGTGTTGGGGTTCAGCTCTGGGGGGAAAGGGCTACAGCGGTCTCCAGGCCCAGGGTTCCTGCGTTCCACCCGCCCCCCTACTGCCACCCCCTCGACTTCACCGGGCCCTGAGGCGGCTTGGGGGGGGCTGTCTGGGCCCCAGTGGGGGAGACCTGGGGTCATCAGCCCCCCCCACCCCTCGCACTCGCTGGTACTGTCCCCCGCCACCACAGGTGAGGGGTACAGAGGGAGGAGTAGGGCCTGGGGGTGAGGGCTGGGAGCAGTGGGGGGTGGTGTGGGACTGACCTCCCCTTCCTTGCTCCGCCAGGCCCCTGTGTCTGTCTGGGATGAGGAGGAGGATGGTGCCACCTTTACTGTCACAAGCCGCCAGTATCGGCCTCCTGATCCCTTGGTGAGATCCTAACTTTGGCTTCTCATCTCTGACCCATCACCTCCCAGTGCCTCTTCATCTGGCCAACTTTTTGGCCAGAGTGCTAAGTCAGAGGTCTGGAGACCTGAAATCTGCTGTGTGACTTAGGTCAAGTCTTTGGCCCTCTCTGAATCTTAATATAACAAGCCTGGACCATCTCCTAGGTCTGGGATTTTCCCCAGAGACCTAGGGGCTGAGTTGGAAAAAGGGTCAGTGACTTTCTTTCTGTCTCCCCCAGGCCCCCACACCTCCCCCACGTTCCTCCAGAAGGCTCCGAGCTGGCACTCTGGAGGCCCTGGTCAGACACCTGCTGGATGCCCGGACATCAGGGGCTGACGTGACCTTCACATCAGCTTTCCTGGCCACCCACCGGGCCTTCACCTCCACGCCTGCCCTGCTAGGACTTGTGGCTGACAGGTCAGGGTCATAAGGGACCAAGGGTTATGGAGGTGTCTGGACTTTTCTAGAGCCAAAAAAATCTCACCAAAACAGAGCCACTGGGGGTTTGGAAAAAAAAATGGGCAGATAGAATCTCTTCTCCTTCCCAGGCTAGAAGCCCTTGAATCTCATCCTACTGATGAACTAGAGAGGACAACAGGGTGAGTGACTCCTGGCTGTTAATCTCACAGTTCTCGCTGGCTGAGCTGCAGCTTGATATCTGACCCTTGGCTGATTCCCCTTTTCCCAGGGTAGCCATCTCTGTACTGTCAACCTGGCTGGCCTCTCACCCTGAGGATTTTGGCTCTGAGGTCAAGGGTCAGCTTGACCGGCTTGAGAGCTTCTTGCTTCGGACCGGGTATGCAGCAGGGGAGGGTGTTGGGGGGGGCAGCGCTGACCTCATCCGCAACCTCCGGTCCCAGGTGGACCCCCAGGCCCCCGACCTTCCTAAGCCCCTGGCCCTCCCCGGCGATCCCCCTGCTGACCCCACGGATGTCCTGGTGTTCCTCGCTGACCACTTGGCTGAACAGCTGACCCTGCTAGATGCGGTGAGACCCTGACCTCTGACCCCGTGCCCCCTGCCTCCTTACTAACCTCTCCCTGACTCCAGGTCCTTTCCTTGCTTCCAACCCTTCCTGATCCAGCTCCCAGCATCCTCTGTCCACTCAGTTTTGACCTTTCCCCTGTTCCCCTTGATTGTTACCCTTCAAACGTGATTGTTACCCGTGCCCCTTTGGTTCCTTGGCCACCTGAGATCCTCACACCCCTGATATTGGTAGGCTGACCTCACTTGACTATGAACCTTAACCTCTGCCCTCTGCCCTGCAGGAGCTGTTTCTCAGTCTGGTCCCCTCTCAGTGCCTGGGGAGCCTGTGGGGTCACAGAGACCGGCCAGGACATTCCCACCTCTGCCCGTCTGTCCGAGCTACTGTCACACAGTTCAACAAGGTGGCAGGGGCAGTGGTCAGCTCTGTCCTCGGGGCTACCTCAACTGGAGAGGGGCCCGGGGAGGTGACCATTCGGCCACTCCGTCCTCCCCAGAGGGCCCGGCTCCTGGAGAAGTGGATCCGTGTGGCAGAGGTAAGAGAGAGGCTTGGCCCTGTTGGGGACCCTGGTGTGGAGAGAGGTCCCAAAGCTCAGGCCTACCTCTGTGACCCCCGCAGGAGTGTCGTCTGCTCCGAAACTTCTCTTCAGTTTATGCTGTTGTGTCAGCCCTGCAGTCCAGCCCTATCCACAGGCTTCGAGCAGCCTGGGGGGAAGCAGCCAGGTGGGGAGGATGGGGCACTGAGGCTGGGAGCTGAGGGCTGGGAAGAGGCGTGGGGGCGAGCCTGGCCCGTCCTCAAGGCTGCTGCCCTCCACCCATCAGGGACAGCCTCAGAGTCTTCTCCAGCCTCTGCCACATTTTCTCTGAGGAGGATAATTATTCCCATAGCCGGGAGCTCCTCTTGCAGGTGAGACCCTGTTCACTGGCGTTCCCAGCCATCCCTGCTTCCCGCCCCACACCCATACCTCCTTGTTCTGTCACCACCAGGAGGTGAAGCTGCAGCCCTCTCTGGAGCCAAATTCCAAGAAGGCCCCGAGGTCTGGCTCCCGGGGTGGGGTGAGTGACTAGCTGGGCGGTGGTTGTGAAGGAGTAAGGAGTGTGTGGGAGGAAGTGGTCTGAGGGATGGGAAGAGGGGGCATGGGGGGGCTTCCGAGGCAATGGGATAGGAAAGTGCAGAGGGATGGAGAGCCCTCAGATCGGGGCGGGCGTCTGATCCTGACCTCTGACCTCAGGGTGTGGTCCCATACCTTGGCACCTTCTTGAAGGACCTCGTGATGCTGGATGCAGCCTCCAAGGATGAACTGCAGGTCAGTGGTGTGTGTGTGTGTGTGTGTGTGTGTTCGTGTGTGCACTGTGATGAGGGAATGAGTAGGCCTGAGGGTCAGACAGACCTTCCCGAAAGGTGCTACAGGGCGTCAGCACCGAATTCCAGGGCTCGAGCCAGATTGCCAGCATTCTGGTTCTGTGACTTCGGCAAGTTGCTTAACTTCTCTGTGCCTCAGTAACCTGTAAATGGGAAAGCAGTGACCAAGTCTATGCCAGTCTGTTATCATGAGAGTTAAGTGCATTACTGTTCAGCAGGTGCTTAGAGCATGCCTGAGACGTAAGCCTACGTAGCATTCATTACAGAAACAGATACTGGGATCTTGGGCAAATTCCTCATTCTCTCTGAGCCCTAATTTTCCCAGCTGTGAAATGGACACCACTTGTACGTGTGATATTCCATTTCAAGGGTGAGATAGAGTGGTTAGGGCAGGACAGGGGTGAGGGGGAGCCAGGGGAGGGACAGAGGACTCAGAGGCCTAGTGGGTGAAGTGTGTGTGAGTTGGATGTGGATGGGTGTGTGCTCTCTGTGGCAGGGTTGGGCTTCACCCCATCCCCCTTATTCTTGCAGAACGGATACATCAATTTTGACAAGCGGAGGAAGGTGAGGGTAGTGCCTGGGCCGATGCCAGGCATCCCTAGCCATGTCCCAGGACGGGGAGACAGAGGTGAAAGTCGGGGGTCCCTGAGTTTTGGCTCCTGCAGTCTGTGGGCTCCTTCCTAGGAGTTTGCTGTCCTTTCTGAGCTGCGGCGGCTCCAGAACAAATGTCGTGGCTATGACCTCCGACCTGATCCCGATATCCAGCGGTGGCTACAGGGGCTCCGGCCACTGACAGAGGCCCAGAGGTGACTGGCTGGGTGAGGTTGGGACTCCAGGGCTGGGGCTGAGTGTGGGGATCGGTGTGTCACGTCCTGATCTCTGCCCATTGGCCCTCTTCACAGCCATCGAGTGTCCTGTGAGGTGGAGCCACCTGGTACCAGTGACCCTCCTGCCCCGCGGGTGCTTCGGCCAACGCTGGTCATCTCGCAGTGGACAGAGTGAGGGAGTCAGCGGTTGGGGGGTAGTGTTTTGGGGAAGCTACTTGGGAGAAGAGCCCTTCTTCCTCTGACCCTCCCAATCTCTTGCCCCTCCAGGGTTCTGGGCTCTGTTGGGGGACCCACCCCCCTGGTCTCCTGGGACCGGCCCAGTGTGGGGGGAGATGAGGTACCTGGAACCCCTGCCCCTCTGCTGACCCGGCTGGCCCAGGTGAGCTCTGTTCCTGACCTCTGACCTCAGCACTGACCCGGCCTTTGTGAACGTTTCTGCCTTGACCTCTCTGCCTTCATGCCCGTCCCCCGTGTTGTTTGTCCCTAGCACATGAAGTGGCCGTCTGTCTCATCTCTGGACTCTGCCCTGGAAAGCACTCCATCCCTGCACAGTCCGTCTGACCCCAGCCACCTCTCTCCCCCAGCCTCCTCTCCTAGGCCTTCTCGAGGTCACCGCCGCTCCGCCTCCTGTGGCTCCCCACTCAGTGGGGGTGCTGAGGGGGCCTCCAAGGGGACTGGATATGGGGGTGGGGGGTCTGGGCCAGGGGCCTCTGATTGCCGAATCATCCGAGTCCAGATGGAGCTGGGGGAAGATGGCAGTGTCTACAAGAGCATCTTGGTGAGCAAGCTGTGGGCTGTGGGGTGGGGGTGAAGGATGATGCCTGTGGGACTACAGATGTTGTCTTAGGTTTGAATAGTCAACTGGGAGGATGATTATAGTTTTAATTCTGATCTTTGGTTATGGCCGCTATTTTATTTAAAAAAATTTTTTATTTCAATTTTTATAAAGTACGCGTGTGCACATGCTTGCGAGCAGGGGTGGGAAGGGGCCGAGGGAGAGAATCTTTTTCTTTTTCTTTTTTTTTAAAGATTTTTTATTTATTTGACAGAGAGAGACACAGCGAAAGAGGGAACACAAGCAGGGGGAGTGGGAGAGGGAGAAGCAGGCTTCCCGCCGAGCAGGGAGCTCGATCCCAGGATCCCAGGACCCTGGGATCATTACCTGAGCTGAAGGCAGACGCTTAACGACTGAGCCACCCAGTCACCCCAGGAGGGAGAGAATCTTAAGCAGGCTCCACACCCAGCACCACAGAGCCCCATGGGCTCGATCTCATGACCGAGATCATGACCTGAGCTGAAACCAAGAGTTGGACGCTCAACCAACTGAGCCACCCAGATGCCCCTCAGCTGTTTTATTATAAAGGCTACTTGGCATTAGCTGCTGCACCTTGAATTTTGATGGCCATATTAGATTGTCAGAACCCACAGCAGTTTCTTCGTAGGGAAGCAGCCCTATTTCACTGGACATCGTGGAGTCCAGGGAGCCACCATATAGGGTTTCCCTGTTCATTCTGAAGTGTTTGACACGGTAACCATGTTTGGTTGGGATCAGTGGTTAGAGCTGAAAGGATGGAAAGCAGAGGTGATGGCCAATTTGTTGCTCTTTCGGTCTCCTGTCCTACCAGGTGACAAGCCAGGACAAGGCTCCAAGTGTCATCGGTCGTGTCCTTAAGAAAAACAATCGTGATTCTGCGGTGGCTTCGGAGTATGAGCTCGTGCAGCTGCTCCCAGGGGAGCGAGGTCAGAGGCCATGAGGGAAGGCAGACTCGAGAGGAGAGTGCTGCCCACCCGTGGGAACAGTTCCACGTCCGGGTGGTTGTGGGGGGAATGGCCATGTCTGTTCCTGACACTCCCTCTCTGAACATACAGAGCTGACCATCCCACCCTCGGCCAATGTCTTCTATGCTATGGATGGAGCTTCACACGATTTCCTCCTACGGCAGCGGCGAAGGCCCTCTGCTGCCACACTGGGTCTCACCAGCAGCCCTTCTGCCTCAGGAACTCCCCCAAGTGAGGGAGGAGGGGGTTCCTTTCCCAGGATCAAGGCCACAGGGAGGAAGATTGCCCGGGCACTGTTCTGAGGAGGAAGCCCTTCCAGCTCAACAGGACTCCTGGTGGCCATACCAGATGTGGGTAGCCATCCTGAATGGTGGAGGTCATGTTGCACTGGCCAAACACCCTGGGGCAGTGAAGTGCCACTGGTTTACCAGACAGCTGAGATCCAGCCTTGTGGGAACTAGTAATATTGGTAACCAAGTTGGATACCTGTGTATAGCTCCCTACTTTCTGTGAATGCAGCACACAGCTGGTGCTAGAAAAAGGAATCAGTTTCTGATTCCTGGCCACATCCTAGCATGCCAAGGGCCAAGGAAAGGCCTACAAGGAGGGGGAGAGGAAAAGCCTAGAGGCTCTGAGCCCTGGGGAGAGGGGATGGCAAGAAATCGGTTCAAGTAGGGGTTCCTGTCACTGTGACAACACTAAGATAATAAACCAAAACACTACCTAAATTTTACTCCCCTGTTCTGTCCTTGCAGTGCGTATGGCCTAGCTGCTGGGAGTGGGGGTAGGGAGATGGCTGAAGGTAGAGGTCAAGGAACAAGAAGGGGCCCAGTGTTTTCTATCCCTGTTGCTGAAAGCGAGGTGTTAGTGAAAAGTTTCCTCACAATAGTGTATTCCTCCCCAGTAACCTCTCCACCCCGGGGTCCCTTTATTCGCTAAGTTTTCCTCCTCAGCTGTCACAGACCCACATCAAGTACTAGTCACCTAATTAAAGTGATCAGTCTGAAGAACAACCCCTGGTTGGAAATTTGTAAGAAACAATTTTAGGACAAAGAAATGGAAGACAAACTTTGTGGATAATGTGTAAACTTGGAAGACTTACAACGTCATTAAGCATTCCATGGTTGGGATTTTAAATCTGTCTAAACTACATTCAAACAAATTCTAGAAAGAGACCGACTTAAGAGAGATGCCAGGGCTTCTTGGAGGATGACAAGAAATCATAGCAAAGAGGGTCACCACATTTCATCTTGGGGTCTCAGTTTAGATTACTCTGAGTTCTGCAATTAAACCGGTCTTCCCAACAATTGTGTTGTAAATGCTCTTCTCATGTTTCCTGAAAGGGTGTGCCAACCAAGATAAGGAAGAATTAAGGGTTGCATATACAGGCAAGAAGTAGGTTTGAGACATTTCGGATTTTAGTCTCAGGAAAGAAGGAAGGATTACTCTGCTGCAGAAAGATTCCAGTTACAAGACCTTGGACCTGACAGAGTAATGTACATGGTGTATACATAAAGTGGAAGGGGCCCGGGGAACAGATGGAGGCAATTATGACAGAAAGTGGCTGGTCAGAAAACAGCCAGGTGTTTTCACATTTTATTAGCTACAGTATA